CAGGGGAAATATTTGAATAAGACTCAGGAATAGAGGCTTTTATTATTTAGTTAGATTTTGTGTCATTTCTAATTTTTTATCATCATTATTTTGTATTGTTTTTAAAAAATAAGAAATAAAAAAATGAGCTATTCCTTAAACAGAAAAGAAATATAGGCTAATCTTGGCTGCAGAAGTGGATCAAGATAGATTTTCAAGGAAATGGTGTCAGATACCTGGTGATGTAGTGAGGGCATTTGTCAACTTAGAGATAGTTTTTAATCTTGTTTAATCAAATACCATTGGATTCATGGATTTGATTTTTACTATTATGCATTAAAGGAAGAAAGACATGCAATGATATCCTTCTGATTTGGAGAGAAAGTTTTGTCACCCCTTAACTTCAATGATAAAGGTATGTCAACTATAGCTTAATCATAAGGATCAAGATGATCAATCATGATCTACAGGACTCAGAAACCATTCCTAAAGTCTAAATAGCTTACAAAATTTGTTCACTCAAATAGCTATTTCAAGTACAGGTGGTTGTGTTTTAAAAGAACCAGAACCAATAAAAATTACTTATTAGTATTCATTACCCTTAATAATGAGCAAAGAATACTCATTTTCAACCAGAACTATAAAATACCAGCTCCATAGCCTTTGGGCAAGAGACTGATATGATTAGGAACTATATTCTTCAGAGGCAAGTGGTGATATTGAAATGCAATTTCCTTTACTCTCTTGGTCTGAGAATGAAGATATTTGAGTGTTTCTGGTATTTTTGAAGTAGCATTGTGTCCAAAAATGACAGTGGTCATCATATTTAAGCTCCACCTTGGTTTGTGATGTACTCATAAACACACTTTCCTCAGTGTCAGCCAATCATGCAAGCAGTTCTGTAAATCACCAAATTTCCTAATAAGTACCTTGTAGTAATTTATGATTCCTCCAAGGATAAACTATCTTATGTCTGCATCAACACACTGTTCTATCTCAAGGGATCCCAAAGTAATGAAGCAGTGATATTTGCTTTGTCTCTAATTTGGAACTGGGGATGAAGAACATCCTTTGCGTGCTCTCCATGGTTTATAAAATTAAAATGTACACTGATTTTTCAGGAGCTGTGAACAAAGAAATACACATATATCTATCTTACTTTTTCTAGAAATGGTGGCTTTTCTTCCTGTTGCAACCAAGCTTTGAGCCCCTGAGAGAACCCAGCCAATTTACAGTATTGTGAGACTTCTAGAGAGAAATAAAAGATTATTTACATACTTTTTGGGATGAAGGTATCTGTGTTCAATATCTAAGGCACCATGTCTGAGAAGAAACAGAATTTACATTTACTAATACATCGTATGTATTTGATATGTGTGCATCCAGTATGTGCTACTGATAACTAATTTCTACCTCATCTTATTTCACAGTATCACAGACAGTTGAATTGAGTATGTGTCCAAGTTTTCAGCAGACAGGTCAAAAATGTCCATGTAAAATAGCCTATCTCAAATTAATCTTATAAATAATTTGGGAGAGAACAGTAGAAATATAAACTTCTCTTTGTGTTTAATCAGCATTGGGGCTTACTGGACTTTCTTCAAAATTTACAATTTTATGCCATATTCTCTGTAATTTTTTTTGTATCTGCAGCCACTATCTAGGTGTGAACATGTATTATTATTATGTACCTAAGTTACTACAATAATTTCGCTTCCAGATTCCTGCTGATACTCTTACCTGATCTCTCCCTAGTAGACAGCAAAACATTTTAAAATTTAGTTATGTTTTGAAGTATACTATTTCTTTGACAGTAGAATGAAAACTTTCTATGATAACAGAAAAAGCCTTTTATACCCTCATTCCTCAATAACTCTGTAATCCATTTCTTTCTCAGGCTGAATTTGGCCTTGAATTATCTTTTTTTTTTTTTTTTTTTTTGGTGGAACCGGGGATTGAACTCAGGTCCTTGCGCTTGCCAGGAAAGCACTTATTCCACTGAGCCATCTCCCCGGCCCCTTGAATTATCTTTTGTTACTTGCCATCACCTTGTCCTCTCTAAACACAGAAAAAAAGCAGCCATTTTTATAATCTTCATATGGCCGTTTCTTATATTAGAGTTTCTTCTTATATTATATTATCATATATCATATATTATTGCATTGTATTATTTTATTAAATTATATTATCTTTTTATTTACATTACTGGCATTATATTAGGTTTGCTTTTATTTCTTTATGTTTTAGCAAGGTTTTATATTTATTAAAGACAGGAAAAGAATCATGTTCTGCAGAGTGAGAGCTGGCTACTGAGAAAGAAGGATCACAGTGGCCAAAAGATTAGTGGCTGATGTCTTTTCTGTAATCACTGAAAGATTTGCTTTGTGAAAAAGCCTACTTCATAACGTTAGCCTCTTAGAATTGGGCAATCTAGTGAAGTCATGAAATAGATTCTGTCTAATTCCACTTCTAAGACTTCATCTGACACGGGAATAGACCAATTTATAAATGGCATATGAGCACTGTTTTAATTGTTGTAATGTTGGAAATAGGAAGTGACTAGATAGAAGAAATTGTATTTCTCTAAAGAGGTAATTAGCATTTTCAATGGATAAACTAACATGGAAATAAATAGCATACTTGAAAGTATAATCCATATCATTTATCAACATAAATAACAATAAGAATTTTAACATAGAACTGAATAATGAAGAAACTTAAATATAACTTCAATTAAGTTGGGCTAATTGAGATATATACATATATTAATTTTTTAATCTTTCACTTATTTATTTCATACAGGGTGCTTGGACTCATACTGATCTTCCTGTCTCAGCTTCCCCAGCACTGAAATTACAGTCAGGTGCCACCATACCTGTTTTGAGGGGCAGCACGGCATGTGATATTGGGAATGAACCCAGGTCCTCGCACTTGCCAGGCAGGCACTTAGACCACCGAGCTATCTTCCTGGCCTTTAATTGATATATTAATGTAACTTTAACGCAAAAAATCAGTGTTTAATAAGATACTAAGACACTTCTTTAGCTTTCAAAAGGACAAAGATCTCAAGATTGAGTTTTTACATAGAACATGGATTGTACTTTTAGCAGACAATTCTTCATGTGCTCTTCAGTTATTATTTTGGGATTGTCTACATACCTAGTAAGTGATCTGAAAGAGGATGAAACAGAAATGATTATCTAAATCTAAGAAATGTTGAAAAAATGACAAAGACAATATGACAAGAAATTATGGCAAAAAAGTAAAATATGAACCAGAAAGAGGAGTCATTACTAATGCTAGACAAACATTTACAAAACCTTTCATTGATAGGCATTGGAAGTATTTCCCAATATTCTGAGAAACTGAATAAAAAATATTTTGTTTCAGGCCTGTTAAATAGCTCAGCAAATTAAAGTGCCTTCAAGCAGGTGCAGGGGCCAGAGGTTTGATCCCAGGGCCTGCCACACTGGCACCGCCCCTGGGGAGTGCTGAGATGGTGATTGAGACTGGGATGGTGGTGCATGCCTGTAATTCCGGCTCTGGGGAGGCTGTAAATAGGCAGGTCACTGAGTCCCATCTAGTAGTGAGACCCTGAACACCCTGTATACCCTTCCCTGAAATACAAAAAAAAAAAAAAAAGTTGGTTTACACTGAGTAAATACACAGGGCCAGAATTTGGAATACATACAAACTTTTTTCCAACATTACATGAAAATTCCTTTAGAAGTGACGATGCTATTTCCATTAGTCCTTTTTATATTGAATATTTTATTAGATGCATATTATTTCCCTCCCTTTTTAAGTCAATATTATTTTTGTAGCAAAAGAAAAAAAAGGTGAAGTAATACAGAAAATCTAAACTGCGTGCTGTAGAAACATTTTTTTTTTCAGAGGCATTTGGTTTAAAGGGTAGTTATATGGCACTCAGAATCCAAAAGGCCAAAAATTACTGTAAATCCATTTGTTTTCCCTTTTCATGTGGGCAATAATGTCAATTGTGCTATACAGCCAGGTTAACATTTTAGACAAACTTGATTGACTTTTAATATAAACTGTCACAATGCACACTGATTGTATATAAAAACCTTATATATGACAAATTAAATTTAAGAAAAAGGAAAAAATAGAAATGATGATGCTAGAAGACTGAAAATGTTGAGCAGGTAGAATCTTCTCAAAGTACGAGAGAGTGGATTATTTAAAGGTATATCAGTAGAGTTTTTTTTTTTTTCCTGTATTTAGTACAGGGTCTCACTACACAGATCGCACTTGTAGTGATCCTTGCTGAATTTCAGCCTCCCAAGCGCTGGGCTTATAGATGTGTACCACCAGGCCCAGTCTCAATCGCTATCTCAGTGTGCCCCAGGGGTGGGGCTGGCACATCAGGCCAGAGTTCAAACCCCCAGCCCCTGTGTCTGCCTAAGCAGGTTCTTTAATTGGCTGAGCTATCTGGCTGGCCCTTGAGTATTTTATGTCATAGATCCATGCCTTTAATACCCTTCCCTCCATCTGGTATTAATATTATTTCCACCAAATTTCCATAGCATTTTATCTTGGAGATTTGGAGATTCTCTACATTGACCCAATGCACAGAGCTAAAGCACTAATTACAGTGTGTTCCAAGGCTATGGGAGAAGATGAAAGAATCAACAGGTGGTTAGTGGTGCTGCTCTACTTTCCATTATTACTTGGTTACTGAACTGTCCTTGAAACTAATTCCTCTGATACTAAGTCTCTATCATAATCTTGTAGACCTCTCAAGGTTTGAATTTAATCTGATCTGAGGATTACTCAGATGTTTATACAAACAGGTTTTAGTTGATTTCTAGGCACCCAGATAATGTTGTCAGGAACGTCACTAGTCATTTAGTGTGTCAAAAGCTGAGATACACATAGTAGGTTAAAATGCATCTATAGACTAATTCACAATCATATTTCCACTATTTAACAGTTAAAATGAATTCTTATTCATTCTCAGGTCATTTCTCTTTTCATTTCCAGCAAGAGTGGAAGAAAAGTATGATAGGAGGTAATCAGAGTGGTGCACCTGAATTCATCCTCCAGGGGCTCCCCATCAGGTTGGAAGATTGGAAGATGTATTATGCCCTGTTCCTGGTCATGTACCTGACCACAGTGCTGGGGAACCTGCTCATCATCCTGCTCATCAGGCTGGACTCCCGCCTCCACACACCCATGTACTTCTTACTCAGCCACCTGGCGCTCACCGACATCTCTTTCTCATCAGTCACAGCCCCAAAGATGCTCATGAATATGTTGATTCATAGTCAATCCATCTCTTATACTGACTGCATTTCTCAGGTATATTTCTTTTTATTGTTTGCGGGTCTTGACAACCTCCTTATCACCTCAATGGCTTATGACAGATATGTGGCCATCTGTCACCCCCTACACTACACCACCATTATGAGCCAGAGACTTTGCTTGTGCCTAGTAATTGTGCCCTGGATCTTATCCTCTGCCAATGCTCTTCTGCACACCCTCCTCCTAACCCATCTCTCTTTCTTTAGAAATAACACCCTCCACCACTTCTTTTGTGATCTCACTACCTTACTTAAGCTATCTAGTTCAGACACTACTGTCAATGAGCTGGCCATTCTCACTGTAGGAATGGTGTACACTGTTCTGCCATTCATGTGCATTCTGGTGTCTTATGGCCACATTGGAGCAACCATCTTGAGAGCTTCCTCAATTAAGAGTATCTGCAAAGCCTTGTCCACATGTGGTTCTCACCTCTGTGTTGTTTCCCTCTACTATGGAACAATTATTGGGCTCTATTTTTTTCCCTCATCCAATAACACTAATGACAAGGATGTAATTGTGGCTGTGTTATACACTGTGGTTACACCCATGCTGAATCCCTTTATTTACAGTCTAAGGAATCAGGAGATAAAAGGAGCTCTTGGAAATATCCTTAGTAGAGGAACATTTTCACTGTAGTTGGCATCAGATTTCTATTAAGTGGATATGAGACCTCCTCAAATCTTCCCATTCATCCTTTCCTCTTTAAACTGATGCTTCATGTATCTGATGCATCAATCTACACCCAGTCCTATTCCACCATTTTTGTCTTGGTTTATCTTGATATTGAAAATCTCAGGAAAGACTTTAGAACTTACATGTATATTTTCTTCCTCTGCATAGCATTCTTGTCCCAGAAGCATTTAAAATGTTTATACATTCCTATTAGGTTTGTATAAAAAAATTTATTTTTAAAAAAATTGGGTAGTTTATTACCTTTTATAGCAAAGCTTATTTTTCTTTCCTCAAGATAAAATAGTTCTTGTGGTTGGTTCATGATTTTATTTTTCTGTTTAATTTTGTAATATATATGAAATTTGTTTATTGAGCAATCTTACCTTGAAGTTTAGTGCTACTTTTGTTTATATATTTTATTTTATTTTATTTATTAT